TAGCTTGTATTGCGGTATCCAGGAGAATTTCTGTTGGATTGAGTAGTTAAGCTTTCATTAGCTCCAATGAAGTACACTATTTACGCCCACTTTCTGTCTTCGTCCACAAACGAAGTTTCTCGTTTAGTTTTGTATCTTGTCCGTCACTCCAAAATTGTAAAGCTTCCTCATGATCCCTAAGTGAGACACGTTATCAAATGCTTTGCTGAAATCTGTGAATTAGACGCCGAAAAACCGTCGTCTTGAATTATCTTCCATCAGGCATGAACGTCTATCCCGAAACCCATGTAGCTATAGTGTCCTTAATGAGTGATTCTGCGTCAATTAGCAAGTCATCTGGAAACATTCCTTCAAATATCCTAACTATGATGCTAGTAAGACTGACAGGTCCGTAGTTATAGACGAGCTGTCGTTTCTCATGCCTAAAGGACAATGACAATGTCCGTTCAGTTCATTGTATTAAATCCAAAATACCTGTTCTAATTCTTTCTTGAAGGGCGGTTGACTGATAAAATCAGTTTTCAGTCCAAGTAATAGGGAATAAAAATCCAGGTCCTGAATCGAAATTTTATTCGTAGATCGCAAACTACCAGTTAAGATCAAAAATGCAAAAATACCAAACCAAGCACTATGAAACTCAAACTCCCATTACTTGTGACATTTTTAATTCCAGTAGCGTTATTGAGACATAATGCAGTCCAGTTGTTCCTCGTAGTGTAGAGTGGCTTGGAAGGATATTACAACACTCTCATAATCATTAACCACAGGCTGTAGCCAATAAAGCATAGAAATGAACGACGTAGGTAGTATTAATTTGAACAACAAAACTTAACGCGGTGCCACAACTGATACAAATAAACAACAGGTATTGAGTGTAAATGTGATTACACACACTGAGTAACAAAGGACAAAAGATGCGGTCTTTTATTGCGGTCATAAAAGTACTAAAGTTATATATTACTCTACTATTGAATACTTGTCTGGCAAGAGCTGAGTATACCTGGCTCCAAGTATGTTAATTATGCACTTACTTATTTACTTACGCCTGTTACTCCCAATGGAGCATAGGCCGCCGACCAGCTTTCTCCAACAAACTCTGTCCTGGGCCTTCTTTTCTAGTTCTATCCAGTTCTAGTTCATTCTTCTCACGTCTGTCTCTATTTCTCGGCGTAATGTGTTCTTCGGTCTTCTTTTTCTCCTTTGACCTTCAGGATTCCATATGAGGGCTTGTCCTGTGACGCAGTTGGGAGATTTCCTCAAAGTCTGCCCAATCCACTTCCATCGCTTCTTACTGATTTCTACCCTGGAATCTGGTTTGTTGTCTCCCACAGTAACTTGTTGCTGATAGTGTCTGGCCAGTAGATCTGAAGTATCCTGCGTAGACAGCTGTTAATAAACACTTGCATCTTCTGGATAATGGATTTCATAGTTCTCCACGTCTCCGCCACATACAGTAGAACTGTCTTCACATTTGTATTAAAAATTCTGATCTTGTAGTTGGTTGACAACTGTTTTGAGTTCTAGATGTTCTTCAGTTGTAAATATGCTGCTCTTTCTTTGCCGGTCCTCGCCCTCACATCTGCATCTGATTCACCGTGTTCATCAATGATGCTGCCCAGATATGTGAAGGTTTTCACATCCTCCAAGGCTTCTCCGTCAAGTGTAATTTGATTGGTGCATATTGTGTTGTATCGGAGAGTCTTTCTTTTCCCTTTGTTTATATTGAGACCTACTGCTGCTGAGGCTGCTGCTATACTGGTCGTTTTCTCCTGCATTTGTTGTTGCGTTTGTGATAGAAGAGCCAGATCATCCGCGAAGTCTAGATCATCAAGCTGCATCCTGCCTGTCCACTGTATCCCGTGATTTCCTCCAGTTGTTGACGTCTTCATGATCCAGTCGATGACTAGGAGAAAGAGAAAGGGTGAGAGTAAGCGACCTTGCCTAACACCGTTCTTTACCTCGAATGAGTCGGTGAGTTGTCCTCCGTGGACGATTTGGCAGTTTAGTCCATCATAGGAGTTCCGTATGATATTGACTATCTTTTCAGGGACGCCGTGGTGTCGAAGAAGCCTCTATAATGTTGTCCTGTCCACGCTATCAAATGCCTTCTCGTAGTCAATGTTAATTATGTACACTAATTCTTTATTAACGAGTATCGCAAGCTTGATAAAATACATCAGTTGCAATATTATTCGTGACAACAAAAGACTGACATATGTTGTGATCAGAATTTATATCTGCACTCACACAACAAACGGCAGGATTTGAATCAAGCGCTAAAGCTAACAAGGAGTTGAGGCAAGAAAAGAGAATATTCTCAACCGTTCATAGTGCTAACAAACAAATAAAATGTGTAATCGATAGAAATTTTAAGATGTGATGAGCAACACACGTTTTGAAGGAGCGAAATAAATGTTCTTCACTTTTAAATATTGTATGCGGATCCTTAGATACAAATACAATTCGTCAAATCTACCCGTATTCGAAATTTTACGCATTTAACTTGTAGTTGTGATGATCAAATCAATGTAATTTATAACGATATTATCATCATTGGTTATTAGCTTCTTTCATAATTTAATTTAAGTGCAGTTTATGTATTTGCTAAATTGTTGGATCAGTTCTTTAATGCTTATCTCATTAACAGATTTCCTCACAGAAGCTACTCTTTACACCCTCCGAGCAAACAATGTACTTTTACAGAAGACTTGAACAGATAAATATCTACATCTTATCACCGATTCCAAACATCTCACTTGGTCGCACATTGTACAAGTCAGTAACTAAATCAGCATATGAATGACACAATTTTCACAACCTGGTAATAAAGACTGTACATATCCCATCATCAGTCGTTTGTTCTACCATTCATAAAGAATTTTTCATTTAACAATTAAATTTAAGGTCAGTGGTATGATAATGAGCTGATAAGATAATATATTTCACTGACCAATCAAAATCTAGTTGATACTCTCTACACCATTTGCGACATTTGAATCCCCTAAAATCATAACGCGGTCATACAGCCATGTCACGTTATGGGTCAGACTATGATCTATGGACGACTTTTGGGCGACGCTAAGTTGACCTACCAACGCGGACTAAACGAGAGTTATAAACCAGTACAAAGGATTAGAATTATGATTTACAGTTAATGGTTAGGGTTAGAAATTAGATCTAGGGTTTTCATTACGAACTGACATCAGCTATAAAGCAGAATGAATGACTGAATTTCGCGCGGAAATCCAAAACTCGTTATTTTATAACTAATTGGTTGTTCCATAAATTATATTTTCGCCGCTTTTCATTCTTTAAGCAGTGATTTTCCATATGAAGAGTTTGTTAGATCAACTTTGAACTGATTTCATAGTTATCTTTAAGTGATTAGCGTATATGTTTTAACCGTTACTTTATTTTGAATGATCAGGTAACTAAGCACATTTTTAACATTGGAAAATAGCTTTGGACATAATTTATAACTACTGGAAAACCAGAAAAATGTGGTGACTGTTTTTTGTCTAAATTTATAATATGCTAACAATGGATACATGTGGCATCAAATATATAGGATGAATATCATGATCTTCATATTAATTATGATCACAATCCACCACTCTAATGCTGCCTGATTGTTTTCATTTTCTCTTTTCAGTCTAATCCTCATATACAGTTGTTATATCTGGTGGCCGAGTGGATGCCTAGTTAATGTATGACGTGATAAGACCGTCAATCGGAGAGCAGCGAGTTATCGATTGGAACAATGATACACAAAAGCCTTATGAGCAGTCTTGATTACTTGTCAGTCCTACTTTCTGCGTGGCCCAAGCATTTAAGTCCAGAACACCAATAACAGCCTCTGCAATATGAATCATTATATTTCAAACATACTGGATTTATATACCAATCAAACAGACCACATCGCACCATAAAATAGAAAATAACATTTGTACAAGATTAAGCGAAAAGTGGCTGTAAATAGAGGGAACAGTAATCAATAGACTGGGAATAACTCAAGAATGGTAAATCGTATAATAATAGTCTATAGGTCAAAATAAAGCTTATAATAAGAGGAATACGAATACAATTAGGTTAGTTACTTAACAATTATACAATAAGATATATATATATATATCATATTGGTCCATATATAGTTCTCAAAGTTACCATTCGTAATTCTCCACGGGATATAACAACAGTACAAATGAATACTTATCTTACCTTATAAATTACATCAATCATTAGCTTCAGCAATCAAATGTAGTAACAAGTTGTTGATGCATCCATTCTTTTAATTTTCACTTCTCTAAAAATAAAAAAAAAACACTTTTATCTGCTAGTCATTTTGTTGATCCTCAGTTTAGAAGTTTCTTTCTTTCATCCATTGAAAGTTGTGGTTGAAAGTTTTGTTAGTCTCTAAACAAAATATCTGAACAGAACCTTTTATTTCCTATTGTCTTTTTTTATTATTTTTAACTTATGGATGACAAATAATACCATAGTGTAAAATGATAAAACTGTTCATGGGATATTACGGGTATGTCCTTTTATATATGAGAACCTATACACATACGTATATAAACTCACTTATTTCCTACCTTAGTTACTTTACTTATAGCTATAAGAATTGACTAATACACTTACGTTAATCATATTAGAAATAAAAATAATAAGTAAACGCCTAATCTCCAACGTATCTAAAGTCTCATAGAAATAATAACGTTTGACTTAAGGTTTGTATAATCTAAACAATAATACCCATCATATACTAGTTCACAATACTACTCAAAATATGTAGTTGTGTAATGCCATGTATGTATGTATATTTATAATATAACTCTTGTCTAATAATATTATTTGAGTAATTCTAACATTAACCAATCATAAGAAAAATCAAATAGAATTCCCCAAGTCAATAGTTGACTATTTATTGGTTTAAATAATATTGGAAAATGATACTACTCAAATAAACAAAAAACACACACGAAGTAATGAAGTAATTCATTATTACAATCATTAATGTATTGAATGTTGATGATAAAGTATAACTTCAATTTCATATAATAGACTTATATAATGATAAGTAAATAACCGGATTGTATACATAGAGAAAGATAGTATGGAATGGACATTTTTAATGTTCAAATATATTGAACTAAAATATGGTCAATTTTCATTATACCAATAAAAATTTATATTATACTTCACATTATTCTTCATCATCAAATCAACATGATCATCTTTGTTATAATGACCAACATTGTACTGAATGGAATTTATTAAAATCAATTGAATTCAATGAAATTGCTAAGCCTGTATCAAATTTTTTAGTATTGAATCAATTATCAACTATTTCAAATAATAATGATCATGATCATAAATCTTCAAGAACAGATGATACAACAACAATAGAAAGTTGGACACCATCAATTGATCAATCATTTATACATCAAAAATTATTATTAAATAGAATGAAAAGTTGGAAATTATACAGAAATACTAGTCCTTTAAACTATTTCAGTAATATAAATAATAATACTAGTAATATAGATAATTTACCTGAAAAATACTCTGTTAAATGTAGATTTAGAACATTTGAAGATGTACCTAAGGATCAAATAGATGATAATGTAGCAACAGTACATATATTTAACCAGTATTTAATGAATAATGAATATGAGCATGGAGATCAATTACAAATATTAACAAATGCTCATTTATCATCTGATATAAGTGAAAATTTGACAGAACAGTTTATTACACCATCAGTAAGTGATGGTGTAACATTGGATGCCGATAATCAGGGTAAGTGAAATATCTTTTGCCAATATAATTATAGTCTTAAAAGCTTAGAACACTTCAATTTGAGTACTTCAGGGGTTACTCTGTTCTAAATCCTTTATAGTTAAGAACTTAATTGCTGAGTTCTGAGAATCTCATAAACAGATCTCAATCAATATTGACTTGGAAACCTTTTCTCAAAGTTGGTTCAGCATAACTGTGATAATACATATCAATGATAGTACACTAAAGCTCATAGTATTTATATATTTGAGAGGTCTAGTGTGTATGTGTGTGAATAGCTTGATTACTATACACCATTGTAATTATCAATTCACTCAAGTTATCCAGTGTAAATACCCTCATACGTTTGACATTTATTATTCAACACTATTAGTTTATACTGTCAATAAACTAATATATCAAAGCATCGCATGACATTTATACGATGTGTTTACAGACGAAACCAATTAGATGTGATGACATTTTCTCAAAAGTTTGACATTTTATAATTATTCACATAAACCTGAATCAGAAGTAGGAAGTATACAACATAAATCGTCTAACAAGAACTTTTATATTTTTATTGTATCATTTAAATTTATCAGAAGGGGGTTTTGTGGAGATGTTAGTAATTTTATATACTTGGGATCATAAGTCAATTGAAGCTAGACAACCATGGGAAACCTGGAAGCACTGGACGACCGTTTCGTCCTATTGTGGGACTCCTCAGAAGTGCGCATCCACGATCCCGCCTCGCGAGATTCTAACCCAGGACATACCAGTCTCGCGCCAGAGCACTTAACCGATAGACCACTGAGCTGGCCGGCATCCAACGGTGTTATTGTCTAACTTAAGCCAATCCACGAAATTGAGCAACCATTCACCAATTGTCTTCAGTGAGTTGATATCTCCCAACACATCTGGTTTAAATTTAACAAAGGGATTAACTACTTTATATTACGATAGTGTAATAAGAAGACGTAGATTATAAGGAATATGTGATATATTTGCTCAATACATTTCGAACAATCTGATCATTTAGAGGTGATTCAAATAGCATTTTATTGAAATAAAGGCTTAAATCAGTCATTAACAAGATGCATTAAACAGCAAAAGTCATTATGAAGGAAAGAACAAGGTTCATGCTTCATCGAAAACCTAAAAGACATGAAAATGATCGCGTCATATCCCACTATTTTTACCAATTTAAATGTGTGTGTGGCCACACATACATAGGGAGGAGCAATCGCGATCTCAAAATTAGGGTGTGTGAACATGTGCCAAAATGTAACTTAGTATTGTTTGTTTGAATGGTTGCAAAAACAAATACAGTCGAATGACCCAATAAGAGTAGAGGATAAACATCCATCATTCTCTATTGCTAAACATATAATCGAAACAGGTCATAAGATTGATCATAACTCGGCTTTTATGGTGTTGTATAAAATGTTAAAGGGCGTAGACTAAGGTTTATTGAAGCCTCAGCCGTACGAAAATTCAAACCCTTTTATTTATTCCAAAAAACGTTTGTTCTCACCTTAAACCAACCCTGGTAATATTAGCTTATTATCCAGAGTGATTAGGTTTCAAATTGTTTTCACATTATTATTAACTTTGTCTACTCTTACCCTCCATTTCCAGTCTAGTAGACCTTTTATTTATATATATAAATGTTGTTAACAAGTATAAGTGTGATCAGACTGTTCAAAATGTATTGCACTAATATATCACCACATAAATTCAACTTAGTATTGTTTGTTTGAATCTTCCCATCGATTTGTTAGGACTGCAACTGGTCAGTCTCTAATTGGCATATGTGCATACTGTGCGTATTGCCTCGAAATACCTTAATTCACAAGCATGGTTAGCTATCAGGACTCAGTGGCCGAGTGGATAACGCAATGGCGTTTGAAGCGAGGGTACTGGGTTCGAATCCCAGAGTGAACATCAACTCTGAGATGCAGGTACATCCAGCTGACGAGTCCCAAATAGGACGAAACGCGCGTCCTGGATTCCACTGCTAGCCACTATCCATCTCTGCTAACTATCACCACATAGTTCTGATAATCTTCGTCTTCTTACTTTATATTATTTACTTGACACTGTTTAGAAAAGAAAAACGAGTTAAAGCTTAAATAAACCTTCTCTGTGTTAGAATCATAAAATTTCAATGGTCAGTCATAGGAAACAAAATATTCCAAATAAATACCTAATATCTTCTTTTTAAAATTTTAATAAGCGAGCGAATTTGTAGTGTGTACTACTGATGTCAACAGATATAAGTAGTATATATCATCAATCGAAAGTGAAATACCCAGTTGGCAGAAAGTTAAGAAGATGGAAGAAAAGAGAATGAGAACAGAGAATGATTGATGTAGAAACGAAGAAACAATCAAGTCTGAGACACTTGGTTGAGATTTTGCAAATGAAGAATTTACTTTATGGTTCTCAGATTTTACTAAGAGATTCTCTAGTTTTGTACGCAAATTCATTTGGTTGTCCCCGCCTATCGTTTTGTTTTCTGACCTAGGTGGTTTAACTGAAAAGATTTGTTATTATTCTAGATAAAATTCTCAACTCCTAACTCCTAAATTGTGATAGGCAATGATGTTGTTTACAAAAACAATAAACACTTTGGTATTAAACCAGGTGACTTAAGAAACAAAACAACATTGAAAGTGTCTACTTAATTTATATTCGTTCTATATCATTTCACAAGGTTGTATTACACAGATAATGGCTTCATCTATCCCCAAAATAGAAATTATCATTCTGGTGTATTATCTGATAGATTGTAGATTGATTCTTTGCCTTCACACAGCTTACTATTTCAGTTTCAGTTGTTCAATAAAATGACTACAATTAATTAGTCTCTTATTGGCATCTGTGCATACTATGCGTATTGCCTCGATATTACCTTAATTCACAAGCATTATAAGCAATGATGGATAGTAGCCAGTAGTGGAATTCAGGATGGGCATCTCGTTCTATTTGGGACTCATCAACTAGATGTACCTGCATCTTAGAGTTGATATTCACTCTGGGACCTGAACCCAGTACCTATTGAGTCCTGTTAACCACTTTATACAGATTTTTCATTGTTCAATACAATGCATGAGAATGTTATTATTATATATGTAGATTTATTTTTGTTCCTTTTTATTAAACAAAGAGGATATTTTACCAGAATAGTGAATCAAAATGAGTCATTAATATATATGTATAGAGAGAGAGAGAGAGGGCAAGTTTAATTTACATAATTATTTAAGTTAGCAACAAACTTTTAAAGTTTTATTTCCTAAACATAGTTGATAATAGAAATGAAATACTAAGAAATGGATAGAAATGGGCGTTTCTTGTAACTATCTTATTACTTAACAAATAGATAGATAGATAGATAGATTTAGGAAATACATAATTGGTGATATGATAAATTTTCCCAATCTAAAATGTACTACATTTCTGATATACAATTCATGGTAAAACTTACATGGAGATATAGTGTGTGTATTTGTTCCTTCGCAATTACATAAAAAAAAATATTCAACCTTTCCATTAACTTATAGGAAGTTGGATGTATATAGTTAATGAATGTATCATTGACATTAAGGTGTCGCCTTTAAAAATAAAAAAAAGATATTCAAGAGGTATTTTTATTTTAGAAATTATAATGAAAAGAATAAAAGTCAATAACCTGAACAATTATTGGTTGACCTTATTCAATGAATTATTGAAGAGAAAAGAACAGTCATTAGTTGTTTTTCATTAATCTAGTTCTTATATATAGTACTGTATCATGAATGTACTTATGATCGATGATACGGATTTTAAGCCTAGCAGAGATATATTTTAACCTCGGATATTCTACTATATCATTGGATCCATATGAATATTCATTTCATAAATTATTATTATATCGTTGAAATGATCAACTATTCAGATCACTGTAACACGGAGGATTTTGTTTGATGAGTGCCCAGTTAATATATAAACGTGCTGATCCCTGCCAATGAGAGGGGAGAGAATTATCGATCAGAGCTATGATACACAAAAGCCATATGGGCAGTCTTGAGTACTTATCAGTCCTGCTTTCTGTCTAGACCAGCCAGTTAAGTCCAGAACATCAATAATAGCCTCTGCATACTGGGTTTATATACCAAGGAGACAGACCACATCGTACCATAAAATAGAAAATAACATATGTACAAGATTTAGCCGAATGTGGCTGTGAATAAAGGGAACATTAATGAATGGATTAGGGATAACTCAAGAATGGTAGATCGTATAATAATAGTCTATAGGTCAAAATAAAGCTTATGATAAGAGGGACATGAATATCAATAGTTAAGTTACTTAACAATTATGCAATAGGAAATATACATATTATATTGGTCCGTAGATAGTTCTCAAAGTTACCCTTCATAATTCTCCACGGGATATAACAATGAATATTCTACGCTGTGATTGGCTCGCCTAAAATGTGGAAATGTTGGTCCGTTTAACAGCTTTACCTTCTCAATTTCTCCACAGATAATTTAATTAGAATTGGACATTAAAGGTTTCAACCAACAGGGAAAATACACAATCAACTGAAATATTTTTCAGTGCTTAAATCATCATTTACATAGATTTACCACAAACTATGATTAGATACATTAGGAATAAATTTTAAACAACAGGAATTCGAATTACAAACAAAGATGGATAGTGGCTAGCAGTGAAATCCAGGACTCCCGTTTCGTCCTATTTGGGACTCGTCAGCTGGATGTACGTGCTTGTGAATTAAGACTATATCGAGGCAATACGTAAAGTATACAAATATGCCAACAAGACACTGATCAATTGCAGGCGTAAACATCAATGGGAAAATTTTGACAAACAATACTAAGTGAATTTAAACCTTACAAGCACAACCAAAAGCAAGTGGCTATCATGACTCAGTAGGTGAATGGATAACGTGATGGTGTTTGAAGCGAACAGTAATGAATTCGAGTCCTTGAGTGAACATCAACTTTGAAATG